ATAACAATATTAGTTAAAATGATTGATCAAAATTTATCATCATTTGGTGAGAAGACAAAGACACTAATTTAAAAGAACAGAGGTAATAATATAAAACATTGGATAGAGAAGACCAAAAGAGTCTTTTGATACAATCGTAATTGGTAAAACTAGAAAGTAAAACAAGTAATAATTGAAAATTGTAAAAAAGAAACGTGAAGGAGTAAAAAGGAATAGATGGATTAAATAATTGATTCACATTGCTTTCTTTGCCGTATTAAAGAATGTTTACATCAACTAAATCGAACACCATTTAAGCTAAAAAAGAGCTTTTATTGGAATGAATGATTTGGTAAGTAATTGTGGATACTTTTGAAATAACAGCAAAATGATGTGATTGGGCTGTGCAGAATCTGAAGAGACTCACTCAATAGGAAATAATACCCATCCGATAAATTAAATTTATTTCTTTTTAAATAACAAAGCGGTAATTCTATTTACAGCCATTTTTTACTAATACAGTCACATTTTTTCATTGTTCCTATCCTGTCTTTTATACCCAACTTAATACAGCCCACAAATGTTCACAGTTTACCAAAACAATACAGTCGGCAAATCACATCTATTGTTGGCTAAGAGTATCTCCAATGGTCCCTTTTGGGGACTTGGTTGTAATTTTAAAGCTAATAGCTTACCATTGAAGCATTGCTTTTCATTTTGCTTAAAAAAGTTAATTAGTCAATATGAGCTACTAGCTTGAGCAAATAATTACTAAATATAACACTTATTAATAAATGAAGAGGAAGATGTTATAACTAACCACTGAAGTTCATTTTAATTTTGATGCAAATGTTTATGTGGCTAGTAAAACTGTGAGGGTAATTTGCTAACTGCCGAAGACGCTCTAACGAAAATATACTATAACAAAAGTAATCAATTGGAGGAAGAAGGAAGATTCTCGCATCCCAATTGCTTGACTAAAATACAGGTATCAGTAGGTGAAGAAAGAAGAAATCGGAATTTGCAAGACTGAAATTAAGCAATTTGGGAAGTGCATGTATTGTTACTTGCTAGCGCAATTCGGAAGACGGTAATTCTGAGCTATTTGCTTTCCAAGGAAAATAAGCCATGGAATTCCTGGTTGATGTCTAGGGGAAGCCATGAGAATACAGCAACTACAATTCTAAAACGGGAAACAAAACTCAATTTTTGAGAAGTAGTAGAATTCATGGCTAGTTGCAAGAGTGAAAATGTTTTGGTTAGAGACTGTGATTTGAACAGCGGAGGCTGTATTAAATTATTATTATTAAGGACATAATAGGAAATATGTAAAATATGTGGTTGTATTTAGGAGCTGTGAATAGAATTTCTCATAACAAAAGTTTTGAAGGGCTTCTAAAGTCAAGAATCTAGTTTCTATACATATTTTTCGATTTTTTGCCACTTTTAGTCCGCTGACTATTATGTTAATGACATTTTTGATACTCGACTTTGAGTTTTTCCACTTTTAATCCTTCAACTATTGTGCGACACATACTTTTGGTACCTATCTTTGAAATTTTTGACATTTAGTCCTCCAACTTTCATAAAAATGATACTATTGGTCCTTCAAATGCAAAGTGGAAGGGCTAAAAGTGTCAATTTTATAATATTCACGGGATTAAATGTGAAAAACATTGAAGTCAAGAACTAAAAGTGTCTCTCGTACAATAGTCGGGGACTAAAAATGGAAAAATTAAAAGTCGAGTACCAAAATTGTCAGACTCAGTAGTCGAGGGACTGAAAATGGAAAAACTCCATATTTTTCATTAAGCTATTGTAATCAAGTTTATTGCTCTCTTTGTCCCTTGAAAAATTCATGTACTTTTGAGATCTTCCCAAGTAATATATTCTTTTCTCATTTGATAAAAATGTTCTTACCAATTTACTTTTCTACATTTAAATAGTATTGATATAGTGTCAAACACTATCAAAATATTGTAACCAAAGGTAATATTTACCTTGAATGGAAAGAGCATTTTAGGAGCCACAGAAAAAAAATCATATATCCTTAAAGTGTATGCTACGCAAAGACTCAAACTATGAAGTCTTTAAAGGACAGATGTGTAATATTTCATTGTCTTTTACATTTTCAAGGTAAATTCAAGTATATGGTTTTTTTAATTTTCTTTTTCGGAGGGTCCAAACATTACATAACCATTTCAAGAAATGTGGTTTAAATTAAAAGTGCATAAATTGTTGACATTTGAGTTAAATTTGAATGAAATGATTTTAAAGTCACATTTCCTTCATTAACAAAAGGAATATTTCAAAAGCGAGGAAGTACTAGTGAGCACTTGTATCAATAACGTACGATGTACTTGTTTTGTCTTTTGCACACTGCTATATTGGTAATGTGTGACTATATGTGTGCCTTTCTTTTTTTGTCTCAATAATTCATTGTAAAATACTCCGTATTTTTTTTTTTTTTTGAAGATTGCCTTATAAGTTTCAAGATTTATTATAAGATAAGACAAGTAGTAGATGATGGCATCCAAGAATTAACCATGGTATGGAAGCAGTTTTTTACAGTTTGGCAAGTTGGGTAGAACCAATTATGAGTCTATGACACATCCGTATAAAAAGTGGTCCAACATAACAGGGAAATTTTGTTTCACTTGCTAAGGTCAACATCTAAATGATCTAAATGTCTCAATTCTCAATACTCAATTGGAGAGGCTTTCAATGATTTTTTTTTTTTACTTCGGGTAATTTTCTTTCACCAAGATCCCTCTAAGGGAGATTAAACACTAGGTTGCTAAACTTTTTTCGGTCTGTCTTTTACCTTGTTTCTAGAGATGGACGCGGTTCGGGCCGCCCGGCCCGGAAAACCGGTTCCGGTTCGGGCCTAGGCCCAAGGGGTTAAGCGGTTCCGGGCCCGGGTCAAGCAAAAGGCGAACCGGCCTGGCCGGGCGGGCCCGACTTGGGCCTTTTTTTATTTTATTTTTTTTAGGATTTTTTGGGTTTGGGCTGGGTTTAGTTGGGCTGGGCTGGGTGTTTCTGAGGGGTTTGGGGGATGGGGGATGGGGGGTGGGGGTGAAATAAATAAGAGAAAAAAAAATTGAACCGCAACCGGACCGGCCTGGAACCGCTGCCTACCCGGGCCGGTTCCGGTTCCCCTTTCCCAAAAAAAGGCCCGTCTGGACCCAGGCCCGAACCAGAACCGGCCCGGGTCCACCCCTACTTGTTTCCGGCTTTCCGGTTGTCACCATCTGTCCAATGAATGGCTCTTTATATATAGGAAAAAGGATACACCTGAGCCAAGCGCGAGGGCCTCTTAGAACCGACCCGATAATTCCTATCGAGAGACAAAAGTCAAAACATTTTCTTAGAGGACTCAAATGGCTTGGAATCTAAGCAACGGTACTCGATAGAATTGGGTCGTGCTTTTTGTCGAAGTCGGGATGGAAAAAATTCTATAAATTTCATATCATACTCTCTCAGTCCTTTAAAACTTTGTCAAGTTTGACCGACATAAGAATTAATAAAGTAAAAACTGAGTGGTTAAAATTTGTGCAAAGAAGAGACTTGAACAACGAATTCTTTACTCAAGGATTTCCCAACAAGTTTGGGGTGGTTGCACTTTGGATTTATAGGGTCTGCCGAGCGACTTGTGCCCAAGGAAAAAACTTGTCTTGTTAGTAGTGTTTCAACTCCTACGTCCTACCTATTTTCGAACAGACTATTGAAAAATACAAATGACAAAGTTTGATATAATACTTAACAATCATTAATGTTGTTAACTACCATAATTGTTTACTATCCTGCACTCATGCTTAAGGAGTGCAGGACTAAGGCGATTTTCAGATTTCCGACCTAAAGTGCCAAAACAAGTTTTAATTAGATGGGATCAATTGGTCATACAATCGCAACACTGGACGGAAGGATGCGATTGGGACAAACTCGTAAAGATGCTTTGTACTAATTAAAGATAAAGACAAGCAACAAATTTGCATCCACAGGGAAGTACAAAAAGAAGAAATGAGATGGGGCTTTTCCTCCAATAATTTTTTACTGTTATCTGTCGAGCATCTTTTGTGTATCCGCATAATAGAATAAAGGCTGTGATTGACCTGTCATACTCATATCATGAAGGGTACACTTTGAAAAATGTTATGTGAGCTCACTTGTGTGCAAGTTTGCAAGAGTCCAAAATCAATATTAGAAGTGTTAAATCATGATACACTGAACTGAAATCTCTCAGATTATTTCCAAATTTCCGTGTAATCAATCATTCCACAACAAATGCAATTTTTAATTGTAATTCGGTCACTGGCGAAAAGCTAGACCCTCTAAAATCCTATGAAAGACGCTATAGGAGACCGCACGGCCCACGTGTACTTGACACCACGAACAGAAATCACATTTGGATTTCACAGAAAGTATTGGACATGGTCCAAGTTCAGGACCGGAGCAGTTCATTACCCACCAATTGTTAAAATAAAAAACCGAACAGGTTGTTTGGTTTAAGACAAGAATCAGTAACAGTACTCGAATGGTTCGAATTGCAGTTCCTACCTTATGGTGGACTGCTGGACTGGATTCAATAGATATAGAACATGAACCAAACCAAAATTCGCATGTCTTAGACGCTACTTGGAAAGAGCGCCATGAGAAAACAGACTTGAAAAACAACACATTTTGTGAGGTTATGTTTGGATCCCAAAATATGCTACAGAAGTACATATTGGAATGATCAGGAAAATCTAAAAGAAACTGAAATACGATTAATGTGTTAAAATTTGTATGTTCAGATTGCTTAACATACACACAAAATTTCACATTCAACATTTTCTTACCTTTCAAGACTTGCCAAAACTTTACTCCATATAATCATTACCTATCATTTACTGTTTTCCAGACACAACGTAGGCCAATCTGCAGCAAGATGAAGATGTAAAACATATACAAGCAGTGTATATTTACATATGACACCTGTGCTTGAGCAAATAATTCAGAGTAGCCGGTATGAAACACAAATATAATAAGGATAGCCTATCATTACCCGACTGGCAAATACAATCTCAGTTAAGGATTCTATACTTCTTCATTCTCTCTCTGTTTAATAAATACTTGGTACAAAATCAATATTACACCACCAACAAATACAAGAAGCAGAACGATGGTCATCTATGTGTTGGACGTCATAAAAAATAATAATCAATGAAATCAAATACATCTCCTAAAGCCTCTCCCTACATCATATAGTAACATTAATAGTAATAATGATGATGATGACGACAACATTTCAAGTCAATATTGGTGCTACCTGTTGTGATCAGATTGCCACTAATATGAGAACCGCTTTTTATGTAGTAGAATCTTGCTATCCTCCGGCCACGTCAGCGATGAAAGAAACAATTGTTAGAACGCAGCCAAGCTATGTATATACTATTGTATGTAAATAGTGTGAACCCACTCTACATGCCAGATATTAGTAAATTCCACCATCTGCAAACAAACATTAGCAAGAGGGGAGACTATGAGCATTGTGAAATCAAAGGATTTTACTCTAACCTAAAAAAGGCTTAAATGTGTTTTTCATCCTTGCAATTATAACGTGTTTCGTTTTAGATCCCTCTAAGTTTATGTTTTTTCTTGGAAGGCTTCAAGTATAATATTACAGAGACCTAACACAATAATAAAATACAATATTTGCAGCGCATAAGACATATTTAAGCTAAAGTATAAAAAGATAAACAGCATCTCACCTCCAGAAGCTCGTTTCCCTTCCATGGCTTCTCTCTTCTCTTGGCAGCTCGAACAAAGAAAAGGACCATCCCAGGGCCTCTGTTTTCTAGAATCTCCAGATCCTGCATGTACCGAAATACCCTCTCCTGGTTTTATCTCCACTTGACACACAGCACACATGAACAGCTTAAACATATTACAAACTGGATATCTCATATCCAACCTGCAATCCATTTTTCATCCACAAGTGATGCAAAAACTCATTAGCTATCCAAACACCAGTCTGTTACTACAACCTAGAAGTATATTCAACTTGACTTTGTTTACATATTAATTAATTCTGCAGTGGGCGGTCAAATATGGTTTATACAGAAGAAAAAAGTGACTAGCAAACGGCCAATGAATCTTATTCACACCTTTCTGCAAGAGACGCTGATCCTTCCTCGAACAGTTCCTGAACCACGTCCAGTTCAAAACATTCTTTCTCTGGTTCTGAAGAGTGTTCACAATTTTTTTTGCGAAACATGGCCTTAAATACTCCTTTCCCAGTCTTTTTAGGTTGTGGCCTTGGTGGGGTTGGCTTCTCTATGGGTTGTATATCAATCACAATGCATGTTGTGTCATCCCGTAGACCTTTAGGTTGCACAGCTTCCTTCATCATATGAGATAGTGGTGGATCATATTAAACACACAAGACAAATTGTCATTTAAAATTTAAAATTTTAGAAAGTAAAAGAAAAAACTTTACTGTGACAATTTGTGAGGCTGCAGCATCCGGTTGCATCCCACGGCAACACTCAAAAGCGGCTTCAGCAGTTAAGGCATCCCAGACACCGTCACTTGCTATAATAAGCCTTCCACCAGCTGAAGAGAGCTGTCAACATAATAAAAAATAATATAATAAACAAAACAAGAATATATTCAGTATAAAGTTTTAAACTACATTCTTGAATGTGAAAGGGTGTTTTCATATATAAATCGCATGCAAGTCTTTTGACAAAATCATAAATTAGTAAAACAGTTTAGGAGCCTGTTTGGTAACGTCTGTAATGATTGAAATGGATGAATCTTCTAACAATGGTGGCTGGAGTAACATTTTCATTTCAGCAAAAAAACTTACCCGATTCAAACAGTGCAGTAAATAGGTTGGCATTTGGTGAAAATTTTGGCTGATATGCAAAACAAGCATTATGTCTCAAATTAAATCAAGGAAACTTGCAAGTCTATTCTTTTACACATTTTAATATTTTATGCAAGGGTATAATGTGAATCTTGCAGTTCCCTTTGCAAGATTCGCTTCTATCCTTCCATATTCAGCTGGGGCAAACCACTCTCATTTCACTAGAGATAAAAAGGCTGATAAAAACTCAACCTTTACTTGCTTTACGTATGGGATAGGAACTATGAACTCGCCAATATCCATATCTCCAATTGATCTTGAAAGGCATAACCCACCGGGCCAACATCTCAATGGTCCAATCTGAATTTAAAGCAAATGTGGATTATAAGTCATCTCATCTTAAAGGGGTGGTGGGGGTGTAATTGCTATAATACCCTCAAGCTTCAGGCTTATGAGGGATATGTATAGAAAAATATACCTCAGTGCCACCACCAGTATTAAGCCGGCCAACCTCTCCACCACTGGCTGTTATGCGTTCCCTCCTAATTAATTAAGATATCAAAACAACATACAGAGGAAGATAAACGGTTCAATGTGACAAGAGAGAAAGAGTGAAAGACATTTCTTACTCTTCTACGTTGCACTCAAGTCTGTGCTCTGCTGATAGATAATATATTTCTCCTTCAGCAGATTCAAGAACACAAAGAGAATCGCCCACTGAGGCAACTGTTACAACCCATCCTTCAATTATAACAAAGGTCGCTGTTGTCCCTGAACTTCGCTCTGGAACATTGCAAGACAACATTTAAGAATTACGATTACTTCATCTACATAAATCATTAATAGAAAAGAGTTTACATAAATTATTTTAAATAGGAGTGGAACATGGATCATGTGTACAAATATGATTATCCTTGTTTTATGCAAGAATATGATGCATTTCGTCCTAAACATAATAAAAGTAGTTGATGATTCTTTTTTAGAAGTGAATGAGTCCTATTTTAACTTTTAAGAAAGAATCAATGATAGTTCTACTAAGAAATGTGTGATCTTTTAGTCATATTTATGGAATTCCTCCTGCAAATTAAACCTGTTACCTCTTTCCTGGAAATCTTTATCTGTTTTCACAAACCCGGAAACCAAAGCCCTTGGCAAGGCAGAAACCCATTCATCTCTGTTGAGGTCTGATGGAATTCCACTCAAAATGTTGGTCAAGAGATTCTCTTTGGAGTATATAGCAGCTGCAGACCCATTGTGCCCATCAAATAACTGCACCAGTTTCATACATCACAGAAAGAAATCAAAGAAAACTAGAAAAAGTCAACGGAAGAATAGAATACCCCAAACACCGAATAGGTGGTAACCCCATCTCCAAGAACCCTTTGACATTCTGTCTTGAGAAGGGTAAAGTCTTCTCCTTTCTTGCTCTGGCTTGCTTGACCGTGGGAAATTTCAGGCCTTTCAATCTTCTCTGAGGCTAATTCACGCTTCAACAACACAGACAATGGGATCGACTGATGCTGACCCTTTGGTAGCATGATTAGGCAAAATTCTAAACTTTTCTCGAGTGAAAAAAAGAGAGCAAAATTTTCACTCCACAATTCAATCTTCCGAACCCAATGCGAACCTGCAAGTCATAAACATATAAAAAATGTTGGGGGAAAGCAAATCTTGCATGATATTCGCTCAACTGTAAAAAGGCGCATAACATTCAGATGAAAAAATGACGATTTTATCAGAAGTCAACTGTAATATTCCACCGAAAAACTAGATAACAGCATTCGATACTTCAAGAATCGGCGGAAGAAGGATCGAAGAAAGTGTGAGAAAATAAAAAACGTACGGATTTTTTCGCAGTAAACAGGAAATTGTGGAAGGGATCAGGCAGGAGATGCGTGGAAGTTTAAGCAATCAAGAGGACGCGGATCCCGCCGACAAAACGATTCCATTGTTCTTCTTCTTCTATGTTGTTTCTTCGTTGGGCTGGAATTAGGGAGGGAGGTGTGAGAGTCAGTACGTGCTAGCGTGGAGTGTAAATGCAGATGTCATCGCGACCTCGCCTCTCCCGCCTGGAAGTAGACTTGGGCAGAGCCGTCCGGGCGTCCAGTCTATGCATTAATTAATTAAAATAACGCGTATGTATTTTTTTTACATCGAAAAAAACGCGTATGTATGTACGGATCAACATGTGTATTTCCGACCGTCTGTACATCAGTTTTTTTCGAAAGAAACCGTCTATACATTAGTTTTTAGAGTTTTTTCCATTTTGAATGTCTCGATAATTGGGTCAATCACATTTTCGATACTTGACTTTTAATTTTTCATTTTTAGTTCTTGACCATTGTATGGGAGGCACTTTTAGAGTCCGTTTGGTAGCACCAAAATCGGCTGTTTTGGCTGATTCTGCTGAAATTTATGATATTCTGGCTGGAGTGGCTGTTTTGGCTGATTCTGCTGATTTAAAAAAAAATATTTTAAAAATGTATTTTATTAATAAATTAAAGAAAAAATTATATGTAAAAATAGCTAAAATGGTCCTCTACAGTAACTTCAGCCAATACAGCCAGAAAAGTAACTCCAACCTTACTTTTTCGGCTTATTACACAATTCAGCGCGCGAAAGTAAAAGTTACGTGTTTGGTGAAAAAGCTGGCTGATAAGCCTGATAAGCCGAAAACAGAGTTCTCCAAACGGGCTCTTAAATTTTAATCCTTGACTTCAATATTTCCACATTTATTCCCCTCAATCTTATAAAATTGACACTTATAATCCTTCCATTATGAATTTGACACAATAAATGAAAGATATAAAATGTCACTTTTATGAAAGTCAGAGGATTAAATGTGAAAATTTTCAAAGTGTCCAGTCTATCCATTAAAAAAGCCTATGTATATTTTTGATACATCTGAAAAAACACTTATGTAAGAGTATATCATATCTTTTTAATTGGATATAAATTTTCTGGTCTAGTCTGAACTAGTCTGATCTGGTTTGGTAAATGATTAGTCTTTGTACATTTTATAATTATTTGTGTCTAGTCTAATCTGATTCAATCTGATCTGGTCTAATCTAATCTTGTAGGATCTGATCTAATATGTTCCGTGACTAAAAACGGTGTCTTGTCTAGTCTAATTTTCCAGTAGTCCCGTCCCCTAACAATAGATCTTGATTACCGTGAAAAAATAATAGATCTTGATTAACACACTAAAATAAAATTACACTAAAATATAATTACATGGCTAATAGCTCTAAATATGAGTAAGTAAGAATGTTTTCTTGTAGATTGAAATTTGTTGGTCTGGTCTGGTAAATGTTTGGTCTCTATGTATTTTATAACTACAAAAGTCTGGTCTGGTCTAATCTGGTTTGGTCTGGAATTGAAAACAGTTCATATGAAACATCCTAAACCCCCAAAACAAGAAACTCTAACCTTTTTTATTTCCAAAATCTAGTTTTTGCGACTTTTCATTCCCTAACTGTTGTGGCTAGTGTGTATGTGACATTTTGATATTTGACTATGAATTTTTTCATCTTAATTCTTTGATTATTACTCGTGTGATTGAAACTCTTTTAATCCTGGATATTGAAATTGTGAAACTATTAGTCTTTACACTATCATTTTGTGACAATATGTGGATGACTAAAGTGTCATAATGAACGTACTTTTTTTACTGTTCATAATGAGCGTACTTGAAGGATCAAAAGCGTCACTGTTATACAAACTAAAAGACTAATTATCAAAAAAAATTAAAGATGAATACTAAAAGTGCTTTTCGCATAATAGTTGAAAGATTAAAGTGAAAAAAAAATTAAGTATCAAAAGTAAGTATTAAAATGATAAGAACTCTTCTTAAATATGAGCAATTTGTGTTCTTTCTTTCTATTCTACCAACTTCCTATAATTCTCAACTTAACTTTTTTATTAATAATAAATTATCATTTTATTTATAATAAAAAATAATAAAATATTTATAAATATATAATAATAACACAAATTTATATGGAAAAAATGTCGTCTTATGCAAAAATATGTCACATTTCTTTGAAAATGTCATGAATATAGCATTATTACTCTTTGAAAATGTCAAATATTACTTTTAAAGTGTCACTAATATGACATTTTTTGCAGGTTCGCATTTTTTCAACGATCACGGGTGATGGTGTTGGAAGGTGGCTGAGGTGGCGCCTAAAGCCTACATATTTTTTTTAAACATGCTTTATTTATTAAAAAAAATTACTCCCTCCAGTTCTTAATTAAATTCCTAGTTTGACTTCACACATATTAAGAAATAAATTTGAGTTTAAGAAAAAAATTTGACTTTACTGTGGAGTGCACTGTTTGAACAATGTTTGACACTGTTTGAACACTATTTGGCACTGTTTTGGTGTAAATCATTTGCCAAATAAGGAAAGGTTTGAAGTAGGAACTTCAATATGGATCATCCCAAAAAGGAAAGTAGGAACTTAATTACAGGATGAAGAGAGAATATTTTATTATAATAAATATAAAAAATTCTATTAAAGCATGTCAAGGGGCATGTCAAGGGCAGGATGAAAAAGTTATTCCTATTTTTTGAATTTAAAATGTACTCACACTATTGCATTTAGTTTTTATTAAGGATGTTTTCTTTTTGAGGTATTTACCCAAATAGGAGTAAATCAATCTTTAATTGCCAAACTAGGACCAAAGTTTAAAAATTCTCTAAATAAGAGTTATTATTTGTAATCACACAAAAACACCCCCTGAAACTCCCGCAGACCACAACACTGGACCGCAACATTCGCCGGTCGCCGCCATTCGCTGCCGGTCACCGCCAGTCACCGCCATTCTCCGCCAGTGGCTGCCGGTCGCCAGACATCGCCGACAACCTAAAAAATGGGCCGCCGTTACAGATCTACCGACCGTCGTTGCAGATTTGCCCACCGCTATTGCAGATCTGGCGGGCATCGCTAGAGATCTGGCCAGATTGAGTCTCCGTCGACCGTCAGCCGCTGTCCCTTCAGATCTAGCCACTTTCTCAACTAGTCCGGCATCCGCTTCTGCAAATCTGACCTCCTCAGTTACAGATCTGCCCTTTCCGACGAAAATGCCAAGTTTTTTATCAGAATGCCATTTTAATGGCAGTTCCAAAAGAAAATACAAAATTTTTAAGACTAAAAATGCCATTCATACGGCATTTTCAGATTTCATTTGGCATTTGTAACAATCAAAGAAGAAACAGAATAGAACAATCCGAGAATAGAAGAAGATCTACTGAGAAGAGAAGTTTATCTCCGTCAACGGCGGCGACGGCATTCGCGACGGCGGCAGAGAAGAAGACCTGCGGCGGAGACGGCGGCGGACTTCATATCAGCGTCGGCGATGGCTATGGCTATGGCTGGGCTTCTAGTTAGGTCCGGTTGTTGTTGTGTGAATGGGTGAGAAGAAGAGCTGCAGGGAAGGAGAAGTGTAGGGAAGGTTGTTGTTGTGCGTATGGGGGGAGAAGAAGAATCGTTGCGCTGGGGATAAGATTTTTTTTTTAATCGTTACGCTGGGGATAAGATGAAACGCGTACCCGGCGTCGTAGAGAAAGGAAAAAAAGGGTAAATGGGTAATTGAGTCATATTTAGGGAAGAAAATTAAATATGGTCCTATTTAGGAATTTCAGGACTAATTTAGTCCCATTTAGGGTAATAATTCCTTTCTTTTTGACATGAATTTGCTGGTCTGGTCTGGTCTAATTTATTCTGGTCTGTTTAACTTTGGTCTGTTTAAGTCTGGTCTGGTTTGAACTGGTCTAGTCTGGTAAAAATTTGATCTCTGTGTATTTTATAACTGTCGAAGTATAGTCTCATCTAGTTAAATCTGGTTTGGTCTAAGACTGAAAACAATGCAAAAGAGAACATCCTAACTCCCATTTAGGGAATGAGGTATGTATAGAAGATAGAGAAAAACGTCAATTATAAAGTTGTCAATAAACATGAGTATTTTTAGAATGACTAAAAATACTTGGCACATTTTATTACTCCGTACAAAATAACAACATTTAAGTCTTAAATTCAAGAGTTAAAGATGACTAACATGAATCAACATCACAGGTGGATGTAGGTATAGATATGAAACAATAAGAAAGGCCGGGTCAGAACTACTTGATATAGAAGCCTCCATTTGAGGTTCTTCCAAGTAGATTCTTTTAATAAAATTTTGTAAGCATGTTTTTCATAAAATATCAGTTTAAAATGCAATCTAAAAGTGAATTAAATAAATTATGAAAAAGCACCGCACTGTTAATATATATTTTAGCGTAGTATTTTTTTAATAATTTATTTAATTGATTTCTTGATTAAATTTTAAACTGAAATATATTGTAAATATTAAAAGCATCATGAAGACCATTCTTACAAAATTTCTTCACAAAAATCTACCCAAAAACACCTCAACATTAACGGCTAGACGGCGAATCCTCTCATGTAATTTTGATAGAATCATTTCTCATGAAATAATTACATATAGTACATGATTAAGAATAGGACAAAATGTGTTTTATTCCTCAAATATAACTTATTTAGTCCTATTAAATATAATTTGATTAAAGTTTGCAAAAATAAGAGTGACCAAATCCTATTTTGAGAATAAAACAATGATAATGCTATTTATAAACATTATTTTTGTTTTAGTCATATTTAAGGAATTTTTTCTTTATTGTCTGTGTGATTGTGTTTCTTCTTGACCCCCTATGGGCTATGACTAAATCCTTGCTCCACCCTTAATCAACATACTATACAGTATACAGACAAACTATATACATTTATGAAATTCTCCCTATATGAAAAAACATTATTTTTCCTAAAATAAGTAAATTATTTTCATTCTAAAATTAATTAAATTGTCATATTTTGATATTATCAAGCGTCACTATTTCATTCTTAATGTTTTCCTACGTATCACCAAATAGTTTAGAATGATTTGATGGTCATTTAAGATGTTTTTACTTATATTGTTTTTTAGTCCCAGACCAGACTAGACTTGAATATTTATGAAATACATAGAGATCAGACATTTAACAGACCAGACCAGACCTGTTCAGACCAGATCAACAAATTTCAATCCAAGTAAAAACATCCTTAACAACTACAAAATTCTCGAAGTTAAGTGAGTTAAGGTAGGTGACCACCCGAAAGTTTCTCCAAATTTGAAAGGGGTTAATCTATTCAAACAAAGTGATAATCCAATTGCTCGAAAATCTGTCTTCTAATTTTAAGTAATTGTTACAAAAAAAAGCAGCCTCATCCATTGAAATTACATGTCTCTTAACCAGGCATACGGGGAGTAATAGCCCTCCAAAGCAAAACATCTTGATTTCATGGATTAAAAAACATTATATTTATATATATCTTCCAGTAATGGACTTCACTCCCGGGTTAGACGGCACAGCATTGAGAGTTAGATTGCACTGAACAGCTACATTATAAAATTTCCTGTAACACCCCAAAAATATATTCACTTAAATAACTGCTGAAAAAATATACTGCAAGTGCTATCATAAAAACATCCAAAAATACAAGACAACTAGCAGCAAACGTAGTCAATTTAATACACTGCAGCTTATTAATTATTACAGTAATACAAATAAGACATTTATTGAGCACCTAAGCCAATAAAGGTTATATATAGTTGTTTGCTACAAGTTTCCACCTTAAATCAAGAATTAACTTTGCTATAAAGTATAAACTATTAGTATTGACAGGCTTGGATTTACGCTATTAGGTCCATTTTTTACTTCATAGCCGTGTACCAAATGCAAGAGTCCACATAATAGTTTAGATAAAAACTGGAGCATTTTCTAATAGTACATCAACTTAGCACCATCGACTACATTGGTGATGTAACTGATGTTGAAAATTCATACCTGGATATTATACACTGGAGTCCTTGGAGGACTCCGTGACATCACCGTCTGCCGAATTATTGACTCTTATTATGTACACCTGCATGTAAGGAGTGTTACATACTCTTTTCTTTGACAAAATTTACACCCACATGAAATGTAGAAACCACCTAGTGTTGATTTAAGCTGTGTTGTGTATACTTAAAGGAGTGTTTGCATTTTCATAAATAAGGTTTTCAGCTTTTAGCTTTTAAAAAGTTAAAGGTGATGTTTTCAAACAGGCTTTTCTTCTTAAATTAAACACTACACAGTCACTTCACTTTTCTCTAGGAATATTACATAAAAATTTTACCGAACACCAAACTTTTGCGGAGTACTTTTTGAAATCATTTATCTTTTTAAACACTAACAACTTTTACAATCCATCACTTTTTGTATAATCTCTAAAATAAAGCACTTTTCAAAAGCAAAGTCATCGCAAACGATCCCTAACTGATCTCATATCTCAAGTGTGTCAGTGTGCATGTGTGTGATAGATATATGTTTGCCTTAAAAAAACAAGGACTTTCAAATTTGGTTGCTCTCTAGTACTAGAGTGTCGTTTGGAGAGAAGTAAAGAGGGGGGAAGTGAGGGTGGCGTATGTTTCTGCGCAAGATAGAGGAAAAGATAGCAAGAAACAAGAAGGAAAAGAAGAAATAGACAGAAAATGAAGGGTATGAAATGGAGAGGAGCAAGATTGGGAGTTTTCACATACAAGTATAAAATTGTAATAAAATAATAATAATAATAATAATAACATTAATGATGATGCTTAATGAAAATGGTGGTAATCTAATAATGATAATGATGACTTAAGAACCATCACCTTAAATATAGCATGCTGTATCAATTGAAAAATAAGCGCATCCCCATCAGCTAAGTCATGGTCAACTGCAAACTTCTTCCATCCACCACTAAGTCCTGTTTTCCTGGACAAGTATACAGTTGGCCACACTTCCCCCGACTCATCTACCAATGTCATTGTTCCATCTTTTGCCGGAAGGTTTCTCCTGCAGAAGTTAGCCGGTAGACCCTGCACCATTCCAGTAAACTTTATCATACTTGAAGTGTGTGCATATATATGGTCTGAATTACAATAACATTTCAATTGAGAAATTACTATTATCCAAAGTACCCTTATATATATATACAAGAAAAAATATTATTACCTCTTTAGTTCATAATTACTCGTTCAGCTTTGTATTTTTAAAAGTCAATTAGATAGCCTTAGAGCTTTGATTACTCTAACAAGTCCCCCTATTTCAATACTTATCTATTTTGATTTTCTATAAGCAAAACTTTCTTAACTACGTAGTACAATTTTTTAGCAAAAGTTGACTTTGCACCTCAATAAGAAAGTTAATGTGTTCACCTCATTAATTTTTTTAAAAAAGTGTGCACTTCATTCCTCCACAAGTTTTTGAAATAGTGGGAAGCATACATTTTTCTGAAAATGTAATGTGAAGTCTATTTTCCCGTGAAATATGAGGTGCAATGTCAAATTCCCAATTTCTATATCTATTAAACCTAACAATTATTTAAAATATCCTCTTTTATAAAGTTAAAAACTTTTCTTTCATCATTATATTATAAGCTAAAAAGGATTTTAAGAGTACCAAAGATAGAGGAACTGCAGCCACAATTATTAGATTCGAGAATCAAATTGAATCAGCCTACCCGAAGGAAAAGTTGTGAAATTAATCAGAACTCAAGGGCAAAGGGGGATTAACTACGTAGTACTCCGTATTATTTAAATAAATAAGTGAACTGGTCATTATGGGCCGGATAAAAATAAGGGAAATTTTGACTTTGCACCCCACCATTTGAGTGGTATTGAACTTTGAACCTTATTTTCAAAACTTTTAGACTTTGCACCCTATTTTACTTAAAAAGTCTTTGTCTTTGCACCCCATTCAGGAATTTTCCTTCACAAAATATTGTACAATAGGGTGCAAAGTCTAAATATTTTAAAAATGGGGTGCAAAGTCCGATATCACCCAAAAAGTGGAGTGCAAACTCAAAATTCCACTAAAAATAATTTCCTATATATAACCACGAGTAAGTACATCTAGTTTCAAAGACCAATATTCTCACCAGCCAAAAGCCACCACTAACATGAGATGGAAGCATTGGTCTAACAAATCTCGGATATTTAGCTTCAAGGCTCGCCTCCAACTTCTCTGCTTTCTCAATAGCAGCTGCCCTTCTTTCATCGGATGCATATACCCTGTTTGTGATATCCCTCCTTGGGCACGCAGCTCTACACGAAAAAGTGAGGGAAAAGGCATTCTAAACAACAGGAAAACCGAGAGAAAGATCGCAACTTTAGTTTGGGACTTTATTCGAACACCTTACCTTCGTGGTTGAACTTGCTCATGGTAAGTAACCTGAAATGAAACCCGGATGAAATCAAGCAAATCAGTTAAATTGCTGATTAGCCCATACTTTTAAAAAGAGATTGTATCAAGAAAGAGAGCCATTAGAAATACTTCTTTGTACACAGGCGCTTCAGTTTTGGCTACGCGGAGAGACCGTCGAACCCTGACAAGCTCTGTCCTGGTGACGCGTGGTTTTGCTTTCTTTATCTATGGAGTCGCCAAAAAAGTAAGCTTTCATAAAGATGAAGTAAGAGAGCAGAAAAAATGGAAGGGGCCGAGGGGGTCGCTTTTAATACATACATTAGATGGCTTAGGAGAGTAGACGGTTTTGAGGGCCTGAGAGAGGAGAGGAAGACAGAGTTCTTCTAGCCTTCTCTGGTTTTCCTCCATCCTTTGCCGCCGTAGCTCCTCATACTTGATCTTTGAGACCACCATTTTTTCACTGCTTTTCCCTTTTGGCACTCTCGAGACTGAAGAGGAGTTGGGTGGTAAATATTTGAATGAGCCGACCGTTTGAACTCTGAAGTCTGAAACAAAATGATCTTGGATTGTACATATAAGTATATTTTTGAAAATTTGATGACAAGGCTAATTTTTTTTAAATGAAACGATAGTTTGAGATAAAATTCTCCAAATAGGATTAAAAGAAAACTTAAGTTCTAGGATTATATTTGTTTTATTCTCATAATAGAACTTATCCACTCATATTTTGGGAAATTTTTATTAACTTATTTTTGAAACAAGACTAAATAAGTCTTATTTAAAGAGTAAAATATATGTAAATTTTTTTGAATTTTGTGTATGTTTTAGTCATATATTGAGTAATTTTTGTATTACTCTTTATCATACTTTACCCACAACAACACAAGTGAAGAAGCGGTCCAGCCCAGCTGGTCGCCGACTCACTCTCCCTTACGGGAAGTATCGGGTTCGAAACTCAATGGAGTGAGTTTCAGCCTAGATTACTCCAGGCTCCCCCAGTCCCCCCTCCCCCAGACGCCCCCTGGAGTAAAAAAACAAAAAAAAAAACATAACAACACAAGCATTAAACATGAATGGGATGTTCATACTACCTAATAGACATTAAATACTCAATTTAAGTTGTATGCCGAGAATAAAACAAGAACGTCATATCATATCATATTATCATGTATGCAATTAAATTAAATTGTATAGGTTGTCTAGTTTTTTTTTTTTTTGAAGAAATAGGCTTAAATTGATAATTCAACATTTAGATAATGGGTAATCCGACAAAAAGATTCCAGACAACCATCGTCCCTCGAACCAGACTTAGAATTAATCACCTCCAAGGAAGCAATATAATTCGCTGATCCATTAATGGGCACTAGAAAAGCCAAAGACGATTACCATAGTCCTCTCTCATCACCCACATCCAAATTCAACGTCTTACAAGCAGAGAAAATAAACATGAAAAACAACACACCAAAGGAAAAGTTATAACTAACGAAAAAATAACGTAAATAAAAAAGAGCTCTGTCCGCGTCTGACGATTCACATGAACACCCGAGCATTCTTCATCCAACCTGGCTACAGCATCTTTGGCGAGCTTACTGAGTGAAGCCCGCCCCTTCCCCGTTTTTTGTCCCATCGAGAGCCATATCATCTTCCCCAATTCTATTATCGCCCTGATTTTTCTAGATCCTTCTTCTCTTCTGCTCCTTCGAAGTTTCTTCCTTAGTTTCCACTCCCCCTCCTTTAGTTATACTTTGTTCTGATTCAGGAACAGATGCTTTCCCCCCTTCAGACTTTCTGCCAGAGCTCGATGAACCCTCCAGTCATGTCCACCTGTCACCTCTTGTAGGGTTAGTCTTCACCCCGCTACCTGCCCTAAGATGGACTCCAAGGGGTTTCTTTAATACTAGACCTTCTTCATAGTTCACTGGACAAAATTTAACTGAATGCCCAATTAAACCACAAATGAAACAGAAATTGGGCAACCTCTCATACTTAAAATCCACCCAAAAACTGTTTCCTTCTTTTTTCAAATCCGTACCCTTCTTCAAAGATTTCTCAATATTCATACACAACATGATCCTCATATATGGCTTCCACTGCTCGCTATTCTTGTTATCGCCATACTTTATAAACTGTCCAATATAATTATCAACCCCTCTTTGCAGTACCTAAGTTAACTAGGCTATAATTATCAGCCTCATTTAAAACAATCTTATGTGGGATATCATCAGGTTTAACCTCTTTTAACAGTAACAAATTACGCTCATACTGCCAATGACCTCCTTCAAGTACATGATTCATATCAAAACGATGATAGAAAGTAAACATATACCTTTTTTCACCAAGTTCTTTAACCGTCATCCCTCTCCCCGGTCTCCATAATGAAGCCAAAAGCTCTTTAAGGGCTGGAAATTTAACCTTCCTGTCTGTCAGAATTACGCCGATAACCGGAAAACCTGGATTGTTTCCCTCCACCAGCACTTCTTCCTCATCCAAGCTGTCCAAATCCAGATCCTCCTCCTCCGTCCCAATCACCATGTTCTTGTATTTATCAACGATGCTCTCCATTCACTGCACAGGAACACCAGTTCGGATGCCTCGCCTATCAGCAAAATCCTCTGCACCAAAAAGCACCCTTCGTGAAAGCCAAACGGACGAAATCGTCTAACCCGTCGAACCACCTCCTGCCGCCGAAGAAATCCTCGATCGAGACAGATCTCCAGCCAAAACGAGACCCCTAAGAGTTCGAGCGTAACCCCGCACTCCACCCAACAACCAACGGTGGTCGAGACCACCTAGGCGATACCGGCGGCGGACACAAGCTAGGCGTTATCCGAAGATAACCCTAGAGAGAGAGAAAACTTCCCGTAGAAGTTGATGACTCTGCGAAATCCGTGAAATAATATTGTTGTTCACCAATTTTGAGGTTGTCGATCTAGTTATCTAATTGTAAAAGTTTTACCATTGGTTGTTAAATTTAAAAACTCAAGTCAATTTAATTTATGTTCCAACTTTCCCACCACTTAACCAAATCAACCGGTTTAAACTAATTTATACTCTTACATACTTTATATCGAACAAGGTGAAAACTGAATAAAACTCATCTTCAAAAAAATAAACATTTAGGACATATTTGCTTCACCGCTTATTACACTGTTAGGTGTTTCACTACACCATAAATGGCCTATAGCAACATAAATATAAAGTGTTGCTATAAAATGTTGAATAAAGGCTAAAGAAAATTTGGTGAAAGGCATCACTCAATAAGAAATGTTGCCATAGAGATGTTAATAGGTTGTAAGTGTTAAAAATACTCTAAAGCAACATTTATTTTTGAAATAGATGTTGCACTATGTGTGTTGTCCAAGTTTGGGGGACTTTCAGACTTGAAGTACGACTAAAACTCTTTGACCCTTTAATAATATTTTCTTCTTCTCCCACTATCCTCTGATCTTTTTCTTCTACGGACAACTCGTCTCTTGAAGACACGATTTTCTATCATTTGAGTGCAACGTTGTATCGTTTCGCTCCTATGAGCTCAAATCGATCTGCAGATTCGCATTCCACCTCCGGCCTGGGAACATCAAGTTCTTCTTTTCCATGACTTTGACTCAGATCCACCCGCAAGGTTAGGGTTATCAAATTTCTTTCTGGTGCATGTAATTTGTATATTCTCTATGCTTGTCACACATCGGGGGTTTCTTTTTTCTTCTTTTTTTTATCTCAATTTTAGTTATTATTCTATTTCTAAATATCTTCAAATTCAATTACGTGACCTTGAATGGTTATGTGATTAATATTTTGTGTATGGTGGCCGCCCTTGCAGGGGTATACTTTACTTGGAATAACGGATAAGTATATTGATTTTCTAAGTTGTAAAGTTGACTGAGTGTTGATTTTGCAAGGACGAACTCCAAAAGCCTCACCAGTAAGTTGTGAGGTTTGTCTTTTCTTCAATAAGTAATTTCTACTATGTTTTTATTTGGATTTAGTTTATCTTTGCAAAATACCCAAATTTAGGATTCCCAAATCCATCTTTCTTTCTACTATAGCAATATGGGTCTTCAACAAGATAAATGAAATCAAATGGGTCCATCATAGTAGGAAGGAAGCTGTTTTTGAAGAATCTTGGGGTGTTCCCATTCCTAATTGAATCAACCGTGTGTGATTGTAAGACCAGTAAAGTGCTTCTTCCTCTATTTTGGTTGTATACTTGTCATTATTAACACAAATTTATGTTTGATCAGTCATAGTTGAATTGTGATACGGTATTATATATTTCTAGGATCCAAGAATCCTGCAAAGAGAAAATTTGTCACTCTGAAGTCTGTTAAACTACAACATCATGAAAAACTAAAGGAAAACAAAGATCAATGCATTACAGAGAGGAGCATGGGAGATGACTGAAATGGAAGGAAGCGTCTCCTAACATTTCAGAACTAAATGAAGAAATGGTTGATGAAATGAACAAGGAAATTTAGCAGTGCTTAGCTTTCACTATAACTAATTAAATTGGCAGCAGAAAATCCAAATTTGATGGTCAATGTTGAGGAGCTTTTGTAGCAATGCCGTTTAGTGTCTCCACGGATCAAGTTTGAGATGATTCTAATTCCTTTGATTCGAATGAGGCTGAAACATCCCAGGGAGATTAAAATATTTGTTGGTATTAATCAGGTGCTATATTCATTGCCTTTTCCTCACTTGATTCTTGTATTCTCTCTAATCATGCTTTAAGAATTGTAGTTAAGATTTTCTTATTCATTTTTTTGATATTGAAAGTAGAATGGATGAAATTAGTTGGATCTTCCTCATTCAATTTGTATATTACTAATAATTGTTAATTGATTTGGTCTTTGATATGCCTATTTTATTTATTTCAGGGGTTGATGGTGTATGCTCTGGTCTTTGTTCCTGTTTAAATATGGAGGCTGGCTTTTATTTTGACGCCAAGAACAACATTGAAGTTTTTTACTCATATCTTTGAATTTTTTTGGGTTGTAATTGCTATGATACGTATGAATGTATGAAGGATACTCTGTTTCAATAATATGTGTTTGATTTCTTGTTTGGTAAGCTGAAAATATTCTAATGTTCCACCATATGATCAATGGGTAACCTTAATTAAGCTATAATTAAGCTATGAATGAAAGATGCAATAGAAGTCAATTAATAAATGTTGCGATTTAAAACAAGTTAATGACAGGTGCAATAGCAGACAATTTTAAAATAATACTCCATCCGGTTTTTAATAAACTTCACACTTTCCTTTTTGGGACGGTCTAAAATAAACTTCACACTTCCTTATTTCCTTTTTTGGCAAAGAAATCTACATCAAAACAGTGTCAAACAGTGCCAAACAGTGTCTCAACAGTGCCAAACAGTGTCTCTACAGTGCCAAACAGTGTCAAATAGTGCCTCAACAGTGGACTCTACAGTAAAGTCAATTTTCTTTCCTTATTTTGTGTGAAGTCAAAGTGTGAAGATTAAATAAAACCGGAGGGAGTAATAAAAACATGACAATGGTA